GTCCGGCTCCGAGGTGGCGGCAAGGCCGCCTGCCCGCCTGCATCCCCCCCTCCGCTCGATCTCCCCAAGGCAGCCCTCCCCGCCCGCTTGGCCGCCTCCATCCCCCTCTCCGCTCGATCTTCCCGAGGCGGAGGCGGCGGCAGCGGCGAGGCCGGTCTTGCCCCCCTCCCTCCACCGGCTCCGAGGCGGGGGAGGCGCCTTGACTATTAGATATATAGATGTGGCTCTCTGACTTCCTCTTGCAGCAAAAACTGCTGGTCCCGCAAGTAAACAGGACAATTGAGGAGTGAGGCATGCCATTTCAATCATGTTAGTGGTCAGAGTCCTGCAGTAAGAAAGACTAGCATAAATAAAACTATTTCCTATTCTGTAGTTGTATGCTGAATGGGAGATACTTATGCTAGTGTTGAATAAGGATAACTGTTATGCTGCGGTTTTAAAGGACCTCAAATGTTTGGTATTTTAAAGCCTTTAACATAAACAGGAGGACAGCCCATGTAGGGTCTGTTTACTTTGTACAGGTACCAAGGAAAGACTGCTCATGGCTTATGTGGTATAAATATAATGTGTATCTTGCTTTAATCTATTCCAGGCGGGATGATTGTGTATTGCAATTTAACTGCCTGTGAATGTAGCATGAGATGGAGGCAGGGGAAAAGTGTCACTAGATGTGATAGTGTACATCATAAGGGCATCATCAAGGGCCTATTTAGCAACTTCTGCAGGTCATGGAGAGCTACATTCATAATTACCATCAACCAGAAGAGCGGCAGTTACTTCCATCCCTGGCAGTTCAACGAGGCACACAAATGCCAACCACAGTACCCACGATGAAGGGCACTGCCTACTTTCCTGACACATAGGGTGGCTGCTGCACTGGGGAATGGTGCTCAGAAGAGCCACAGGTGGCACATCAAAGAGCTCCCAAGCCACTGAGTAAGTTTTCACCAAACTAATGTTTGTTGGGATTCTTGTAAAGTACATTGGTCTAAGTAGACCTTAGCCAGAACTGCTAAAGAAGTTCTTAGACTTTTAAGCAAAAGTCAACCCTGTGATCACAGCACATATATGAAGGGTTACTCAGCCTGATACTCTGCAAGTAGCACTCCAAATTCAGTGGCAGCCCCCAGCTATTACAAAATAAATAAAACAGATGATAGCCTACAACTGTTCTAAGAAAGCCTACTCTGGTTAGCTCCTTTCACGAAGACATCTATATAAACCAGAACAGTTCACAAATGCTTGTTCATCGCTTGGTGCCTTCTATGGGCAAAGGCGTCATCACACATTAAACTCTCATATTATATCAATTCACAATGCTGTACAAGTGAGTAAATTTTTGTTGTCCGCAATGTGTAGTCATGTAATGTATGTGAATATATAAACCAAAGTAAGAGTACATTAACTGCCTACAAGGTGATACTCTCAAAACTTTGGACTAGAGCAGGCTGGCTTTAAGCATAGAAAAGGGGCGTCAAATCTACACTTAAGAACATACACTAGTAACTAAGGAGTTTATTACTAACTAAGGAGTTTATTTCAAGGTTTAGGTACTGAATTGGCTGCAAGAATCCCATGAGAAAACAGCAGCTTGGAAGAGCTAGAGTCCAGCTGAGACTTCAACACTTTGTATCTTGACTGGATTCAACCAACCATTTCCTCTAACAGAAAAGAGTGTGATAGTAATTTTTACCACTAGTACATTTCTCATTGCTGACACATTTCTTTCTGCTAATTAACAGAAATGCTTTTAGGACCATTTTATACAATTTCCACTAAGTAGACTTGGTGAGTAGATTAGGGACAAAAAGCATTAAGAAGAGGGTATGGGAATGTCATTTTTAGATTTTCTGGAAGCTGCCAGTACCTGCTTCATTCCTAATCCTATACACTCTCTACCATGTATTATATACTCACTGGTAGAGAAAGTGTCAGTATTCATTCATTCACTGAAGTCTGAGATTGTGCTCATCCACAGGCAGACAGTTTAAGATACCGGTGTATCTCGTGCAAGTAGGTCACTCACATACTGTCCAAAACTCATGTGGGACGGGATGCACAAAATGAAAAAAAGTAAAATAATGACAGGGTGGGTGGGTGGATATCAATTCAGTTCTAATTTTTCTTCTCACGGCAGAAATAATACGCTCTGCTAGCAGAAAAACTATGTGTAAACCCAGGTTGGATCATAAACCGGGAATTTACTGATTTGTCTGTTTGTTACCAATAATATGGGGAGCTGCGGTGGCTCAAATGGTTAAGATGTTGAACTGCAGGCTGTGGAAGGTCAGTAGTTCAGCTGTTTGAGACCTGGGTGCCGCATGATAGAGTGAGCTCCCATCTCTAGTTCCAGCTCCTGCCAACCTAGCAGTTCGAAAGCAAGAAATTGCAAGTAGATAAATAGGTACCACTTCGGTGGGAAAGTAACAGTGTTCGGTGCGCCTTGGTGTTTGGTCATGCTGGCCACATGACCACGGAAACGTCTTCGGACAGCGCTGGCTCTTCGGCTTTGAAACGGAGATGAGCACCGCAACCCTAGTCGGATTCAACTGGCTTTCAAGCAAGGGAACCTTTACCTTTACCAATAATACACCACTGAAGCAGGATTGAGGGGAGGGAATTACCGCACTGCTAAAGACCACAGTGGATGGGATAGTCACTGTAGAGACAAAATTACAAGTATACAACAACTTGGACAGGAAACACACACAAAGCTAGGTGGGAAAAGGTTGTGCCCTAAGTTCACAGAAAGAAGTCAATCTTCACATCCAGTGAGCCAAGTTAGTGGACTGTTAGTTGTGACTACGTTGTCACGTTGTTTTTACAGGGTGTTAAGCTAATCGTCTCTGGTCTGGAGTTGTTTCTATAACAAAGAACTTCCCATGTTCTAAACTTACATCTCTCAAATTCTCTTATTATTGCATATTACATAGACAAAATTAGGTAAATGTTCACTTCTTCCAGAGGCAAAAATCTTGTGAGATAGGTCACAGTGTCTTTTCCCCTCTTTCTGAGGGTGATCGAAAGAAAGGCAAGATGACACAGTGGTAAACTCTGATTTTGAAGTGGGAAATATGGAATGGTCTAGAGTTTTAAGAAACACCATTTCTAGCTGTATGGCAAAAAGGGTAAATGATGGCAAACAACCCTTCCCATATAAGGGCACCCTCCAGTATTTTCTCACTAAGGCTGGAACAGAGGTGCAGGGATTTTCTCTGTATTAGGAATTATTTTCTAAGAGTGCTTTGTTTCAGCTAATAAATAATTTTCAGGTGGCTTCAGATTGAGCCAAAACCCACAAGGAAGAAGGGGAAAGGGGTTGTTCCAAATTGCCCCTGGTTGTTGTTCTCCTTGAGATATCCCTTTCCTGGTCTCCTTGTTGGTCTTCCACTAAATATGAAGATGCTTACAGCAGCTTTACATAACAGAACAAAGCCCTCACCAAAAAGAATCACAGAGCTTGTATGGATGTATAGTTCCATCCTTAGTGGTGAGGACACAGGTTTTCTTTAAGCATCTGTATTTATAGCATGAATCGTTTAAATGCCTAAAATCATCCTTTATCTACAGTATGTGGCAGGGACAGAATTATATGAAAAATGCATAATTGAAGAATTAAAATGGAGTTGTGTGTTATGAGGAGGTAAAACAGTTGGCACACAATTAAAAAAGAATCTTTTGGGGGGCAAGCTCTACTTGAATTCAAGAATGTTCATTTCATTGTGCAGATTCTTCCCACATTTTCATTCCTTCCCACAGACCTTGAACAGGGAATGCAGCAGATTGTGAAACAATAAAAAATGGCTTCTTGCAGGTATAGGGTATAGTCTCCCTGCCTACAAGGGATTGAAGTCACTGATAATTCACATTATGCCACAGGTGCACTCTAAACACATACATATGCATACACAAGGCTTCTGCCTTTTTTTCTTAGCAAAAAAATAAAAAAATTTATTGTCTTCTAGAAAATCCATCCTGCCTTTGGAAATTGTGACACAAGATTGCATTTTTTTTTAGCTCCACATGCAAAT